CCCCCGGGATCTTGGGCGCGCATGCCCCCGCGCCCGGCATGAGTTTAAGCCACAGGGTCTGGGACTCGAACTCTAGTCAACTACATGGGAGTCCAGCAACATAGCCATTACGCTAACTGCTGGTCCCTAACCAGTGTGTTTTTCAAGCAGCCAGGGTTGGAATTAGAATCGCAGTTGGCCAGGACCAGCAGATGGCATAATGGTTATGTCACTGGATTCCCATGTAGTCAGCTAGGGTTCAAATCCTGCACCTGCTGGCTTAAGAAACTCATGCTGGACACATGTGAATGTGTGCCCCAAATCCCAAGATGAGAATGAAGGAGAAGGTATTGTGGTATGGTCATCCCACGTGTGTGTGTGTGTGGGGGGGGGCGTGTGATGTCTTGTTTTCTAACTCTCTGTCTCCATTTCTCCAGCGAGTGCATGCGCAAAAGAAAAAAACCTCTCATAAAAAAAATCGCAGTTGGCTATCTCTGCCTTGGGATCTACTGTTACCATTCTATTTCTGTTTAAAGCTCTATGATAAGCGTAAGATCTGGGGGAAACACTTAGACTCTGCATACTTTTGCAGAGGTTTTCATATTTGTAAATTTGGGAAATTTAATGTAAGTAACACAGGGAATTATTCCAGATTTGCCACAGTACCAAAAAAGCACCCAAATCACATTTTGTTAATTCTAAATATTCCACAAAGTCATCATTAATATCACCAGTGCAGCTCAAAGAGGCAAAAGAAATGCCTAACTTGGAGGACATAGAGATATCATATTACAAATATATTAATAGTGGTGAAAAATTTTTAAATCTTTATAGTTTTTCCTAATGACAACATCTATATTAGGAAGAAATAAACTAGGCATATTTAGAAGCTTATGAATAATTTAAAACCATGAAATGATTTAGGACACTGAAAAAGCATAAATGCATGCATTTTTTTTCTTTTTCTTTTGGCTATAAGGCACATGTGCTCAAAGGAGAGAGATAGAGACAGAGACAGAGAAAAAAGGAAAGTGAGAAATCATCCTCTGGGAGGACGGCCATGCCACAATCCCTTGTCCTCCATTCTCCTCTTGGAATTTTGGGCACATTCAAGCATGGGCCCAGTGTGATTTTTAAAGTTCAGGGTTCAGGACTCAACCAGTGGTCGGTCATGTGGGAATTTCTTTAACTACCATGCCACCTGCTGGCCCCAGAATCTGTGTTTTTTCCTGTTTGATTTTTTTTTTTTTAGAATTATTTCTTTTATTTATCATTATTGTTGTTTTTAATTTGACCAGAGTGAGACACAGAGAAAGAGAAAGAGGCAGAGAAAGAGAGAAGGCAAGCCACCAGGTCCGGGACTCGAACCTCAAACCGTGGTCAGCCATGTGGGAGTCTAGTCCTTTTAACCATCATGCCACCTGCCAACCCCCCCACCCCAGAATCTGTGCTCTTAACAAATAAATTCATATCAGATGCTAGACACAAAACTGCTGCATGGTCAATGGAAAAGTTTTTAAGCAAAGTGTTATACTTAATACATTAAACTAGAATATTATACAGAGTATTTCTAGTACTTTATAAATTGTTTATAAATATTATTTATAAATATATAGTGCTATAGATTAAGCATTAGGGAAGAGATTGTCGGTTGTTGGTATCTGCCACATATATTAAAACATTATTGGTGTGTTTTATAAATTCCAAATATACATGCATTGTGAATAATACTAAGGACTATTTTGCTCCAAGCTGAGCGAAGAATAAATTATATAAACTCACCTGAATTAATGCATGATTGTCTTTAGAAAACATGGAATCACCTGACAGCAAAAGAGGCTCGCTTTTCTCGCAGCTCTCCTGGCTGATGAGCGTGTCCGCGTAGTTGGGCTGGGGGAAGATCAGGTGGCTCTTCCTCGAGTCCGCGGTGAGGGAGACCTCGTGCGAATAGGTCTGCAGGAAAGCCCGCACCCCGTCCACGCCCACGAAGTGCGAGGCGGGCACGCCGCCCCAACAGCCTGGAGCAGGCGTGTTGAGTGCCGGCGCCGCAGCCGGAGCAGCAGCAGCACGACGACGAAGGCGAGGAAGACGCAGGAGACTGCGGCAACCGCCACCACCAGATAGATTGTGAGGCCTGAGGGTTCAGAGCTGGCGGGAGACTCGAGGCTTCCCAGGTCGGCCAGGACATCCGGAATGCTGTCGGCCACGGCCACAGTGAGAGTGACAGTGGCCGAGAGAGGGGGCTGGCCGTGATCCTGGACAGACACCACCAGACTCTGCTTGAGCGCATCTCTGTCCAGCAGGGCCCGCGCTGTGCGCACCTCCCCCGTGTGCAGCCCCACCATAAACAGCCCGGGCTCGCTGGCCTTGAGCAGGCGGTAGGACAGCCCGGCG